TCTCTACCAACCTCTCCGGCTTTGGCTGCTTCATGGAGGAGCACATCGCAGATCCCTCAGCTTACGGTCAGCGCCCAGGTCCCCCAAGGATTAAAGAAGGGGAACTGAGAGCCCGGACTCTGGAATCCTGGAAAGGAGGGGCTTGGACTCTTGGGTCTCAAGAAGAGCAGAGAAGAGGGTAGACTTGAACTCCTGCAGGAGGATAAAGATCTCCCAGACCATTTTCTGAGTCCTGGTCCTGACTTCTGCAGGCATCTACATTCTGGACCGGCGCTTCCGCAGCCTGGACGACTCCTGCTCGCAGCTCACCTCCTTCCTCTACAGCTTCTGCCAGCAGAGTCGGCGGCAGCGCATCATCCAACGGAATCGCACAGAGCGCCTCTCCGACCTTCTGGACTGGAAATACCTAGGCCGGGTATGATCCCCTCTCCCCACTTCCTGGCTCTACTGGTAAATCTCCCACCTCTAGTTCTGGTTTTTTAGTTCCTCAGCCTCAAAAGCCTGGCTCAGTGGGCAGGGTCTCCTTCTACTTGTAAAAGTTGCTGTGCCTTTAGGAATTAATCAACTTCTCCTGGAAGGACAGTACGTGGGAAGTTCTTATCATTTGCATGGGGGTGTGGGCAAAAAGGTACCGGACTTGAGAATTCTGTTCTTAGTGAGGTGTGGCTTGGGACTGTCCATTTGTGTTCCGCTTATCTACATAGCAGGTGGAGTCAAAAAGATGGGTAATTGTATTGGGCAGGCAGAAAGGTGCAGCTGGGTGGGCGTCTGCATAAAATGTGCGGTCAAGGTTCACCATCCCTACATTCTGCCTGGGGGTGCAGTCTGGCTGGACTCCGTGTCCCCTGACTTACCCCTTACCTCCTTTCTATAAGTACTATATGTCTGCACGTCACATGGCGCTGGCCAAGGCCTTTCCAGATCATTTCACCTATGAGCCCAACCAGGTAGATGCGGTGAGTAGACTCCAGACGTCAGCCGGGTTAGGAGCTAAGGGTTGGGGTGGGGTGTAGTTGGGGGGATGCCTGTTGGAATGTGAAAGCCTCGGGTTCTATAAGAGCCTATCAGGGCTTTTCTGCTCACTCTGTGGTTTGTGCCCACACTCCCTGTAAGCAGACCCAGGGCTACCGCTACCCACGGCCGGCCTCAGTGCCACCTTCCCCCTCACTGTCAAGACACTCCAGCCCACACCAGAGCGAGGATGAGGAGGAGCCCCGAGATGGGCTGCCAGAGGAAGAACGCTATGATGAGGATGAGGAGGCTGCCAAAGACCGTCGCAATATCCGTGCACCTGAGTGGCCACGCCGGGCGTCTTGTACCTCTTCCACCAGTGGGAGCAAGCGCAACTCGGTGGACACTGTGCCGTCCAGTTCTCTCAGCACCCCGAGTGAGCCCCTCAGCCCTGCCAGCTCCCTGGGTGAGGAGCGCAATTGAGTGCTCGGCCCCACACTCCTAGCCTTTCCTCCCTCCCTCCTCCAAAGTATGGATGCAGGAAGACAGTTTGTTCCCAGACCCTTGTCTAGATCCTGGGTGGAAGCCACACTCTGTGTGGCCTACAGCCCCACCCAATCTGCCATACACTCCAGCATTTCCAGCTCTGCTCTTGGAGTCCCCCCACTCCAGAATCCAAAACACCGTGCCTTTCTCTGGTTCCAGAATGTATAATCTGTGCCCTAGAATCCCCCAGGCCTGGACTGTATCCCTGGAGCCAGCAATCTGCCTTTACTCTGTAGTAGTGCCAGAGGTTTTGGGGAACCAGGCCTGATGCCTTACAGGCTAAGGCTCCTACAGCCCTCTGTGGCTTGCAAATTCTATAGCATATGAAGCATGCAGCGTTCAGGCCTGACCTGGGGGCCATCAGGTGCTAGAAACCATATGGTGTCCCTGCTAATGGGATGATCAAGTTCAGAGCCAGGGTTCTTTCAGGGACTTAAGATAAATGAATGCAGATGGTCCTCCATTTCAACTCCAGAACTTGGGCCTTAGGATAGGCTCATGGTAGCCCCTCATGGCTTGTCCCACTCTGCCTGGAGGATCCCTCTACCCCTGCTCCCCATACTTTGGCCACACCAGGCATGGTAGAACCACTCGGCTCCTCATTCCTTCTGGAGAACATCCAAGTCTTGGTCTAGACACCTTTCTGGGCTTTTCTGGACCAGACCCTACTCCTCCTTCCTTGAGTATGAGCTGTCCCCTTTATCTTGAGAGCCCCTTTTGTGCCCTCCAGGAAATCCTGCTAAGCACAGAGCTAGCTATCTACCCCTACCCCAATCTCCAACTGCCCAGCCCACTGTGAAACCACTAGGTTCTAGGTCCCAGCTGCTGAACCTGGAGCCTTACCACTTTGCTGCATACTGGTCCTGTTCCCCTGATTCCATTGGGTTCACATGTACCTCAAAGCTCTTCCATCCACAAGCTGTGCTCTGACCCCAGCTTCTGTGAAAGAGGGCCCCCTCACATGTGCTGTTTTATCTGATCCACTGCTTAGTTTGCAGTTGGAAGGGGGAGGCCAGAAAGGGTGTGATTGGAGTGTGTTCAGAGATGAAAAATACATCTATATTTAAGAATCCTAGGTGTGGTCAGACATGAGCAGGTGGTGGGCCTTGCTCCCGACCCCTCCAACCTGCCCTCTCATTGATCCCTTATCTCATTCTGTTATCCGAATTGCTGTTCTCAAATTCTAGCATTCACATAAGATACCTGTCAGTGCTTAGTTGGGACTTGATTTGCAAGTGACAAAATTTTGGCATTTAGAGGCTATATAACTAGGATATCTGTAGGACAGCCATGAACCACATGTAGCTTTTTTTTTTTTAGGAGTCTCACTCTGTCACCCTGGGTAGAGTTCTGTGGCGTCATCATAGCTCCCAGTAACCTCAAACTCTTGGGCTCAAATGATCCTCCTGCCTCAGCCTCCCAAGTGGCTGGGACTACAGGCTTACACCACCATGCCCAAATAATTTTTCTACTTTTAGTAGAGACAGGGTCTCACTCTTGATAAGGCTGGTCTCAAATTCCCAAGCTCAAGTAATCCTCCTGCCTTGGCCTCCCAGAAAGTTAGGATTACAAGGATGAGCCACCCCACCTTACCTCGCATGTAGCTACTTAAATGCAGTTTACAGTGGCCACATGTGATTTCAAGCTACCTATTTGAACATCACAGATGGACAGCACTGGTTTAAGGTGTGTTTCCAGGATGCTGTGGCCTCTGTCATTGACCTCTGAATGGCTCCTTTTTTTTTTTTTTTTTTGAGACAGAGTGTCACTATGTTGCCCTGGGTCGAGTGCTGTAGTGACACAGCTTACAACTGTGCGCACATCTCACAGCAACCTCCAACTCTTGGGCTTAAGCGATTCTCTTGCCTCAGCCTCCCAAGTAGCTGAGACTACAGGCGCCTAACACAATGCCCAGCTATTTTTTGGTTGTAGTTGTCATTGTTTGGCAAGCCCGGACTGGATTCAAATCCACCAGCTCCAGTGTTATGTGGCTGGCGCCCTAGCCATAGACACCAAGTCTGAATGGCTCTATTTTCAGGAAAAACCTTTTTCCTTTAAGTTTGAATCATCACTGGGCCACAGGTGCATCTCTGAACCAATTCCCTCCTCTGGGGATAAGAGAGCTCTTAATTGTTTGGCCATGAAGGCATGATTAATCTTTCCTGTTAGCCACTGTGCAACAGACACACAGACCTCCCCCTCAAAATGGTGAGTGGTCACGAAGTGTGAGGAGAGGGCACAGTGCTGAGCAGGCAAAAAGAGTAGGTACCCAGCAGCCACTTCCTCTTCTAAGCCAGGCGCAGTGGCTCACTCTTGTAATCCTAGCACTCCGGGAGGCCAGGGCCAGTAGATGGCTTGAGCTCATGGGTTGGAGACCAGCCCGAGCAAGACCCTATCTCTAAAAAATAGCTGGGTGAACAAGAGCAAGACCACATCTCTAAAAAATAGCTGAGCCTTGTGGTGAGTGCCTGTAGTCCTCGCTACTTGGGAGGCTGAGTCAGGAGAATTGCGTGAGCCCAAGAGTTGGAGGTTGCTGTGAGCTACGATGTCATAACACTCTATAGAGGGGGGATGGACAAAGTGAGACTGTCTCAAAGAAACAATTTCTCTTCTACCATATAGGGAAGGGGGAGGGTCAGAGCTGACACAGCAGTTTTTTATCTCGGACCCAGCAGCTGCCTCGTTCTAACTTCAGTTCCCATTTGGAAAACTGGGCCCTAAATTTCACATCCTGTTTCTGCACCAAACCCCAAGCCCTTAGTTCAGCACCTCAGCCATCATGTGCTCTTGGCTACTTATATCTATGTGGTAATTGCAATCTGTGCCCTGCATTGAGATTACCATGTGGATCATGATCTCCAGTGGGTTGGACCTAGGAAGATGCTTCCTATTTGCCATCCAAATTGCACAGTATCAATTTCAGTTTGCCCCATACCAAGGGGCTAATAGTTCTACTGCTCTCAGAGACTTGAAGCAGAGACTGCTTTCAGAGCTTGGCACACCAACCTAGCCCCATCCGTAACCACTTTTTCTGGTTATTGAAACCTAACAGTATCTACTTCCAGCCAACCCCTGGAGTCTATCTTCTGGAAGGGGCAGTTAACAGCCAGGCAAGCAGAGAATCCTCCAATTCACACCCTAAAGATAGGATCTTGCCTTAGAACCTGTAAGAAAATGGGAGATGGGGTGCCGGCCCCATATACCAAGGGTGGTGGGTTCAAATCCAGCCCCAGCCAAACTGCAACAAAAAAAAGCCAGGCATTACAGCAGGTGCCCATAGTCCCAGCTACGCCAGAGGCTGAGGCAAGAGAACAGGAGTTGCAAGTTGCTGTGAGCTATGATGCCACAGCACTCTACTGAGGGCAATAAAGTGAGACCCTCCCTACCCCCCAAAAAATGAAAATAGGAGCTGGGGCCCACTCTCTCTCTGCCATCCCAACTCAGCTAGAATCCTTGTGAAAATAGATCGCACATTAGTTTCATACCACATACACAATCAGTGATCAGATGCACAAAAGCTTTATTTCCATTTGGTCCAAGGCTTAGAAGATTGCAAGGTGTTTAAAAAGCTGCCTTGTGGCTGGAGGAAGAGGCTCTGGTAGAAGCCCTTGATAGTTTGAAAAGGGCTCCTCAAAGGTCACTGGTCTCCGTAGGCTTTTAGTCGTGCTTCAGAGTGAGCCTTTCGAAGAGATACTCGCCCAGCCCAGCCTGGGGTCCGGCCAGCCTGTGCAGGTTGGTCAGGTGGTCGCCCATCTTCTTGAGGAGTTTCACTTCCTCATCTAGGAAGTGACTCTCCAGGAAGTCACAGAG